CCACCTCCTTCTTGAGCACCAGCACCATCTCGCCGATGTTGCGCGAATAGACCAGGTCCATAGCCAGCGCGAGGGCCTTGCGGCGCACCTCGATATCGGGGGCGGCCAGGACACGCAGCACGTCCATGACCAGGTCCTGCATGACCTTCTCCATGTTCTCGTTTTCTTTCATGGCAATAAGCCGGTCTAGGACAATAAGCTTAACGTTGTTGTCGCTTTCCTTGACAATCAGCTCGATGTAACAGCTGGCGGCGGCTTTGATGGCGGTGGGGGCCAGAGAAAGGGTGATGAGCGTGCCGGCAGACTCGTAGCGGACCGCGTTGGAGGATGAGTTAAGTAGGTTGTAGATGCACCGAATAAAGCGCGATCGCTCTGCGGGATTGGCATGGCACACCTTGTAGATGAGCTCAACAATAACCAGCTGCAGAATGTCACCAAAGCTGTGCACCTGGTCGATGCACGAGGCCAGATAGTTGAGGGCGCGCTCCTGATCGGCGTGGAGCAGCATAAGGAAGGCGTTCCTTTTGCACGACATGTCCTGCTGCGTGTCCAGAAAGTTGGCGATAAGCTCCGGTCCGTCCGGCACCAGCCAGTCGAAGTTCTTGTAAATTGTAAAGATGGCCAGGACTGCGTTGCGGCGCACGTACGAGTGACGGTGGTCCAGGCAAGCTCGGATAGCGGGCATCAGGGGCTCTAGCAGCTCGGGCTCTTTCAGCTTGCAAAGGAAACGCAGCGTGGAACCACGCAGGAACTCGTTCGGGTGTTGTAGGTCCTACAGTAAAGCGAAAAAACAACAGATCAGCACAGTCACACAGATGGCATACGCGGGGCCACGTTGCACGTTTAACTCACCTTTCGGTAGGCATCGCACACGAGAATCATCTCCTGCAGCAGTTTGCCGTCGCCCGAGGTCTTTGGTACAATCTCCCAGAAGATGAGCAGCAGCTTCTTGATTGTATGGTCCTGCACGGGCAGCACGAATCGGATGATGGTCATGATCAGACCCGGGTAGCGCTCGCCGTTGAGCAGCAGCTTAATCACCTTCTTCAGCGTCTCGATCTTGTGGTTCGTGTCGCCCTTCTCCAAATCTTGCTTCAGCTGCATCTCGTTCGGGACCTCCAGGTCCGGCGAGTTGATTATCGTGTAGCACGGCACTTGGCTCATCCTGGCTAGCGTTTCCCGACTACTTGTCAGGTGTCAAGGGGGACGTTTTGTAGTTTCGGGAGACGTTACGTCTTTTTCCTGGTTTTGATTTCGTTTTATGTGTTCTTCGTCCGGCTTGACGTGTCAATTCAGAGAATATACGACCTGACGTCACAAATTTTAAAATATACCGTAAAATACTGATGAATTATTAGTATTCAAGTTCCCCCATATTCCTCGTTTTTGATATTCGGTTTAATATTACTAGCTAGCAAGGCCCCTCAGCTCTCAACCAATATTTTTATCCGATTATTAAATCGGTCTCCTGCAAGACTAGTTAAATTTAAGTTTTCATCTTTATTGCATTGCTTTTAAAATAAGGTTTAAGCAAAACCGGTCAACAACAATTTCCACTAAATTAATTTCCTTACATGGTAACTACACTATAACTACACATTTGCTACATAGTAACTATATTTTCATGTAATTACCTAAGGCGATACCTGAAGGGGAAAAACCTGCGTTATCCACTTTTTGACATGCCTTTTTTTTTAAATATAGATTTTGATGGAAAACGATCAGGCATTCGATGCTGATCACGAATTAGTGTTCGGAAAAGCCTGGGACTTGGCTCTTCCACACGATTTCTACATTGGTGCATTGGACAAGAGGGTGAGTTCATAGCGCGTTTTAAAAAATACTGGAAAATACTTGCAAAATATGAAAAATATAAAGTTTGCAAGGTGTGTGAGCTAGACATGGTGGTAAGAAAATCAGACTTATCAATCAAATATACCGTCTGACCCTCAGAATATAACAAAATATACCGTCTCTATTTAAAAATATACCGAAAGTATACTGACGAATTAAAGTTCTAATATACATATTCCTCGTTTTGGATATTCCGGCAAATGTTACTTGCTAGATAGAGGCCTTGATAGATAGATACTTGCTCTGACGCCTGACCACATACTTTTATCCGCTTAATAAGTAAATTTTCTATTTGACTGATTTATTTTAAATACTTGCTTTTGTTGGATTTTGTCTAAAAATAGATTTGAGCGGAAAATGTCAAACAAATGAAACGTAATAGAAAAATCGTTCCTATTGCTCAATATACATAGATATTCGGTTGAATAATGCTGACTAATTAAAGCCCTTAGCTCTGCCCACATAATTTTAGGCCATTGATGAATAAATTTTCTACAAGATTAGCTACTTTAGAACTTACTCAGTTTTATTGTATTGTGTCTAAAACAAGGTTAAAACAAAAAAGGTCAACAAAAAAACCATCTGTTTTAAAACATAATTAATAAAGACTTTCTCAAATTTATATGTTCTAGATATATCTGCAAATGAATACTGTCTTGTATATACATATATCTCGTTCCCGACACCTATTCTTGGTCTCTGTAAGAAGAGAATAAGCTGCGAAATATCGTTGAAATAGCTTTAGAACAGAGACTGACTAGTTTCTGAATATATTGCAGCTTGAAAGTGAGTGTGTAAGAAGGATTGTATATGCAATCCATTGGAATAAGTGACGCACGGAAGTACGATTTAAGAGAGCGAAAATGAAAAAAACATGCGTTTCGAAGTTTCTATACCCCTTGTCATCAAATAAACCTTGAAAAATTAAATCTTAATAAACATATCAAGACATCGATTATTTATGGACTTTTCATCGAGTAAAGCTATCAGTATATTTGTGCGATAGGCGATTTCGTCTATCGGTTACAGTGGACCGAATTGAAGGTTCCAATAAACCTGAAGTGACTCAAATTAGCTTGAAGCATGATTCAGTTCTCGCATTAATTATATATAGGGGACAAATGTACCCCTGTTAGTGTTTTAAAACACCGCTGTACTGAATCGAGGGGATGGGTTTGAACATATGTTCCGACTGCAAGATATGGACGCACAGCAACGTCTCCACTGAGCAATAGCATTAGATTGTGGTGCATTAATTGTCGGGCCTGATTAATGTTTCAACTCCACCTTTCTGTTATTCTATAGAAAATGTTAAAGTCGATTACAGTGATTTTCCAGAACTGTGCTGATAGGTGCACTGAATGGCGGGTTGAATTCAAATTTTAATTCCCGCAAGTTTTCCAAAGATGTGTATAGAAGGAGGCTGGCGAGTAGTGCCCTCCCACCTGGCTGCAGATAGCCTCTGAGGGCATGATTCTGATAACAGAATATTTTTTTCTGGTAGAAAAACCCATTAGGGAGATTCCCGGCGGACTTCGAGGCCTTTCGACCTTGCCGGCGACACCCGGTTGCTGGGACAACTGCTGTAGGCATGCAAATAATATAAGCTATGGTGCACGTATCAGGAATTATAAACAATCTCATTGACTTCGATCTACTTCTACACATATACACATACACTTACTTATATTGGCGTTTCTGAAAAGATCCCCGACCAAGACTTCTCCTCTCAAACACAGCCCACACTCACTCGCCCCTACAGTGTGGCTTTTGTGATCTCGTTGAGCAGTCAAATCTATTAAGGTTTATTTATTATCCAACCAACCAACCAAGCTACTACCTCCCGCCGATTCCCCTTTAATTGAGGCACGGCCTGCATTTTAAGCAGACCGCAAATTTAAGTTGATTTTCACATGAGTTGAGGGGATGTCTCTGTCTCCCCTTGATTGCACTCTGCCGGTGTGCCGGCGACGGGTGGTGATCCTATCCCGACACATCCCATGGAACAGGTTTTGTGCCTGTGGAAACAAATTGTTTGATAGCGAAACGAAACTACAAAAGAAAATGAAGCCAAGCTTTGGACTTTGGCGAGTTTGGGAATGCTCTTTCTTGGATATTGGAACAGGGAATTCTAGAATAAAAATTATATATGTGTATAGATGCCATTTCAGTACGGAAGGAGCCCGTAGGGCGATTGGTGGATTGGAGAGTATTTTAGATATTTATTGTAATGCTCCGCAGGTGTCTTTAGGAAATAAACATACCCCCAGATGAGGAAAGTTGCGCTTGATTTATAGCTTGAGAAGGGAAGGGAGAAGGGGATAGGTGGGGTTTTGAAGCGTGCAATGATTGTGAGGTGGAGGGAAGGAGTCGGACAATGTGCAGCCATCAGTGTCAAAACCTACACAGCTAGAGGAACCCCCTGACAGTAAACGGAGATGACTTAAACTGCTGGGCGAAAGATTTACGATTAAATGGATTGTTGCTGTGAAGATAAAAGGCTGAACGGCTCTACGATTCAATCAGGAAATTTTAAATGGATTCTTGGAAATTTTAAGACCGCACACACAATGCATGCAGCAAAAAATCTCAGTGTTCAGTTATATAATTATGCACTCCTCGCCATCGCGCCTTTCGCTAAAAAGTTTGTCATGATTTTAAGCACTAAGAAAGATCCAGAAGTATGTAAATACTTATATACTCGCCAAAGAACTATAGAGAATATATTGAGCCATCGATTATCTCAAGATATATCTGGTATATATGGTATATATATATATCTCTACTAGTATGTTTATCTTACGAGTATGTTTAGATGAATAATGATATTAATAATATTGGCTCAAACCCGTTTGGTTTGTTGCCCCTATCCAGAGGATAGGCCTCTGATGGTTTCTAGACCCCGTCAACAGCCATTTTAACCCACACAACGTACCAACATCCCCTTGGACTGGAGAGAGCCGGTCTGAGTGGGTGTCTTTCTTTGCTTCCTCGGCTGTCGCTTCGCTCCCCAGAGGAGAGCAAACAGATCAGAATAAACAATTAGGTGAAGGCGAAAAAAAGAGCAAAAGCCGAACAAAAAACGAGAGTGCGATATGGCTGATCGTCTGGGGTATAAAAGTGCCGGCCGGCCAGAGTTTTGCCACAGTCAAGTTTTGACGATGACTGCGACGACGAGTGAGACTTGGATGCTGCTTCTGGTAGCCACGCTTCTGTTGGTGCTTAGCCCCAATGGAAGCTGGGCAGAGGATCCCATATGTGAGCCAATCCCTGGGGAATTCCAGTCCCAAAAGCTAAATTCTCTGTTCTGCAGATCGCCTGTGCGTGCCAAAGATATACCTGAAAGAATGCCAGCAGCTGCTGGCCGATCCCTCGGAGGCGGGTATCCGCATGGAGTGCGTGGCCGGGCGAGATCGGGTGGACTGCCTCGAGCTGATCGAGCAGCGTAAAGCTGATGTGCTGGCCACGGAGCCGGAAGACATGTATATAGCCTACCACCGCAAAAACGAGGACTATCGCGTCGTCTCCGAGATCCGCACGCAGCAGGACAAGGACGGTATGTCTATGTCTCAGGAATGTCTCAGGGATATCTTAGGGGACAATACGACATCCCTGATCTGATCTATTTTATATTTGTCCATAGCTGACTTCCGCTACGAAGGCGTCATCCTGGTGAAGAAGACATCGCCTATTAAGACCCTTCAGCAGCTGCGTGGCGCCAAGTCCTGCCACACGGGCTTCGGACGCAACGTCGGCTACAAGATCCCCATTACGAAGTTAAAGAACACCCATGTGCTGAAGGTCTCAGCCGATCCGCAGATCTCCGCCACCGAACGAGAGCTCAAGTCCCTCTCCGAGTTCTTCTCGCAGTCCTGTCTCGTAGGCAACTACTCCGCACACCCGGAGACGGACCGCCTCCTCAAGAAAAAGTACTCGAATCTGTGTGCCCTCTGCGAGAAGCCCGCCCAGTGCAACTATCCGGACAAGTTCAGCGGATACGACGGTGCCATACGGTGCTTGGACAAAGGCCAGGGCGAGGTGGCCTTCACCAAGGTCCAGTACATCAAGAAGTACTTCGGCCTGCCCGGCGCAGCGCCCGCTGAGGGCAATGCCGCGGAGTTCGAGTATCTTTGCGAGGACGGCACCCGCCGGTCTATCACAGGACCCGCCTGCTCCTGGGCCCAGCGCCCCTGGAGCGGCTACATCTCCAACGAGCATGCTGTCCAGAGCACAGACCAACTGCACCAGCTGCAGACCCGTCTGGAGCGCTTCTTCGCCAACGGGTTACGGGCACAGAACAAGGAGGCCGCCGCCCACCTGCTCATCCAGCCAAATGGCGTGTACCACAGCAAGCCGGCGGCCATCGATCCCAAGGTCTACCTAGAGCGGGCCGGCTACAAGGATGTAATCGAACGCGACGGCAGTGCCATCCGCAAGATCCGGCTGTGCGTCCAGCAGGATGCCGAGTTCTCTAAATGCGAGGCCCTCCATAGGGCAGCCTATGCCCGCGATGCCCGCCCAGAGCTGGAGTGTGTCCAGGCGGCGGACTGCGTCGAGGCGCTGGGCAAGGACAAGGCTGATCTGGTGATCCTTCCCGCTGCCAGTTATGCCGATGCCCGCCAGCACAAGCTGCAGCCCATCGTCTACGAGCAACTCTCCGACGAAGATATCCTGGTGGCCGTGGCCCCACCCACCCTTAGCCGAGAAGCACTCCAGAAGACAGCTATGTAAGAATATCCTTCACCTGTCCGAAGTCCTCGACTAACTTTCTCTTGCTACAGAAACTACGACGCAGACAACGAGCGGGCCCGACTCTCAGCCGCCTTCCTTAACAAGCGACGCGGCCAGGACGGATGCCGTATCTCCCCAAGCTCCGCGCAGGATCTGCTGATCGTCCCCGCCTCGAAGCTGGAGGAGCACAAGGACTGGCAATTGGTCTGCCCCGGACTGACGCGCAGCCCCGTCACCGATTACCGCGCATGCAACGTGGAGGTGCAGCTGCCACGCGCCATCTTCGTGCGCTCCGACAGCTCCTCCGTGGAGCAGGAGACGGTCAAGCATCTGTTCGCAACCATCTCGGATAAGTTCGGGGCCAGGGGTAAGCTGGTGGATGTCTTCTCCTTGTTCGGGGAGTTCCAGGAGGGCCACAAGAACGTTCTCTTCGATGTGAGTGAATCCTCGATTTAATTTTAGCCCTCTCTTATCTGTAATCTTTTTGGGTCCTTGCAGGAAAATGCCGTCGAGCTAGCTACGCAGCTGAAGAACGACGTCCAGGACGAGCAGATTTACAGTGACCTCCAGTGCGATGGGAACAAGATTATCAAGCAGTGATATCCTTATCAAGCACTGATATCCATTCTCCAGGAGTGAACTTCATCTCCAATCTACCCTTAGCATAAATAAAAATCTTTTTTTCTTGAATATTTTGCAACACATTCCATGGGTTTCGAATTGTTGAAGGTTTTTCAAGGTTGAACCTTTGGTTTGCCTTGGAGATTTATTTCAATAGAGTGCTCCTGTTAATCAAGGACTTCCCATTCTTCCAGGGCTTACTTCAAGAGCTAAGGGAAAGTGATTCCGAAGTGTGCACAATGTATACCACACATCTTTGCCTTTGGTCGATGAGACAATGATTTTGACTTTACGCGAGACAAACATTTTCACTCGTCAAAATCACTTCACTTGTACGTTCTTCGCTGCACAAAAATATCGTGAGGGTCGTCCAAAAACGGTTGTTGTACCTGAAAAAATGGATTGGCTGGAAAAAAGGGATGTGCGGGTTTGGCTATTGCAATATTGTCATATGACATAGCATGAGATAGATGCATCTTTATGCATTAAAGGGCCCAAAATTTAACCGTGCATACTTAAAAGGCAGCCTTCGTACAATGCATTGAAATATCTACGACTGTATATTGCAAATTTAAAATATGAGGCTGTACTCATCGAGCGTTACAAGAGAATTTTCGCCACCTGCTAAGTGCTTCATGGATGATCATTTCAAGGGGAACCGAAGCATACTTTCAGGTTTCAGCGCCGTACTGCTTGATCACTTGATACCACATAACTTATGTAAAACACTTCCTCCCTCCCTCTTCTTTAAAAACACTAATACCATTGATATTATTTGTTATTTTTTAACTTATGTTCTAATTTTTCTTGTTCCCCGTTAATCAGTCGAATCTCCATCCTTTCCTGCATATACGCGTCATGCGGCAGCGTCGCTCAGTTGGTTATCTGCATGTAACGGTCTTGCTGTCAATCGATTCCTGATCTCTGATCTTCTTCCGTTTACATTTAAACACTGAAGTGTAATTGCAAAAAACGACAAGGAGTGATTTTCCAATACAGCAATTTCGGTTTTTAATTAATTCAAAAGACACATTTTATGTATTCATGGAACCAGCTAATTTATAATGTATATATATCATATCTATATGGTATATAGTTTCACATAACTGTGCTCGCGTTAAAATCGCCGGGGAAAATCGTACGTTTTTCAAAAATTGCTTCTGCCTAAGTTTTGGATTAGGGGATGGGTTTGGGGATATTATGTGTGTTTAATGGAGAACTTTTGAGAAGAAAATTCGTTGATCTACAAATTGCAGTTGAGTTTAGAGGAAGGAAAGACCTCATTCTATTCATCGGAGACGGCGCGTAGCTGCTGCTGCTGGTCCGTGGACGATGATTCTCCGCCGCTGGGGATCTCCTCTTCTTCGGAGTAGTCCTCGTCGTGGGTGTGTGTCACCACAGTGGGCGTCGAGGGGCGTGTGTGGACAATGGAGCTCTATGGGATGGATTCAATAGGAGAGATTCCATGTGGAAAAGGAATATTCTAGACACTTACAGCACGATGCAGATCCTTGGCATCCTTGACGACTTGATCCTTGATGGCGTCCTTCATGTCATTGCCGGAGGTGCAGCGCGGTGCCTCCTCGATGGATGGAGCCGAGGGAGGCGGCTGGTGGGCCTGGTCGTGGGCAACCGTTGACTCGTGCGGCAGCAGCATGGCGGGAGCGCGGAACATGTACGAGAACGGGTAATAGATGAGGTTGAGCAGGGTAGCGGCGTATACGTCGGCGTACCGCACCACCTGACTGGAAAAGAAGGTCTGGCGGGAGCCGGAGCGGAAGAGCGAACCCATCATTCCGTAAGACATGTCCATCTTATGGGTCACGTCCCGTATGCACGTCCGCAGCTGAGAGATGTCCGGCTTTTCCTTGGCACTCGAGTCGAGGTCGCGGTAGAGGTCGCCAAGCTTGATGTCGAGGTTCTGTAGTTCCGCGAACAGCTGGCACTCGTCCGTCCACACGTGAAGCTCCCGCACCAGCTCCGGCACGATGAGGAAGGTGCGCCAGCCCCGGATCTTCTTCGACTTGAGGATGTCCCCGAAGATGTGGTCGCCTACGTAGAGCACATCCTTGCCCTTGGCGTTGATGAACTTGGTAAACAGCTCGCATGATCCGCCTGAGTACACCTGCCCTGGTTGTAGAGGCCCAATGTGTGTGCCGATCTTTAGTCCTCCCGTCTTCGTGTCCACCTGACGCAGCACGGTGCCCTCGTCGAAGAAGAGCGGCTTCCGTGCATCTACCACGATCACATCGAAGTAGCTCTTCCAATCCCTGTGCGGTTCCTCCGGAGTGGCCCCGTGGGGGAAGTCGAACAGGTACGACATGATCTCGTTGGTGTAAGTGTAATCGCTGTTCGTGAGCATAAAGAGCTTTGCTCCGGACTCCCGAATACGTGAAAGAACCGTTGGCAACCTTTCGTCTTTCTTCACATAGTGAGCCATGTTCTGGAAGATGGAGGTCAGATGGGTCAGAAATGGCCTTGAGGTCCTGGGGGGTACTTACCTGAGTGGTTCGACGCTTGAGGTCACCATCGGAATGCACCCAGTCGACGGCACGACGTACGTCCTGGAAAATGGACTTGTACGTGAAAAGGAAATCGCCAGCTTTGATGCCGCGTTCCACGCTGAGAAAAGAGAACGGAGAAACGGAGACGAAAGAGAGAATAGAGCGAGCAGAGCATAGAAGAGAGAAGGGAATCTGGACTGAGGAGGATAAGGATGGAGGGCATGAAACTTACCGCACAAATTCGTTGCTGTTGTTAAAAAAGTCAGTGAGACAGGCGAGCAGATAGGTCTCCGGCAGATTGAAGAGTGTGTTCAGGACATAGACACGCGACTCGTCCAGTTTGAGAAACTTATTGGGATATAGCTCGTATACCTGGTGGCTGTGCGGGAAGATAAATTGTCCGTTAGGTAATCCAAACTTCCTTTTTCTAAGGTTCCACTTACTGCTTAATGAATTCAAAGCCATGCACACAGACCAAGATATTGCCGTAGGCATCAACCTTCAGCAGATTGCCATAGAGCGTGTCAAACCAGAGACCGCGCACAGGGAACGTGGGATCGTACTCAAATTGCAGGATCTCCTTGGGATACCCCATCGACACGAGGCGCTCTTTGACCAGATTGAAGCCCAGCTGCTCGTACTGCGGAGACTTGTACTCTTCAAAGAGAAAGGGAAATGGAAACCAAAAAGGGGAAGATGCATCCATTTGGTCATTTGCCAGTGATATGAGATGGGTATAAGTATAAACCTACCTGCCAGTGTGTAGTCCATGTCAAAGCCATAGTACTTGATGTTCTCCAGATGAAGGGATCTGTTCACGAATACTCTGCGGAAAGAAAAAGAGAGCCAAACCAAAAGGCAAAACATATTCAGAATTTGAGAATATTGTAGATGCATTTTCCTGCCCACATTCAGCAACCGAGAAATTTAGCACAATTTGTTGCATACTCTCAGACGCTGGGTAAGAAATAATACCAAGAATTCTTTTTCATATTCCCGGGCGTGTGCCTGGGAATTTGAGCTGTTTTTGCAATTCAATTGCATTGCAATAGACCACTGAAAGAAAGGACGATAAAGTGACATCTACAGGTTCACCGATTTGTTAAGTTTTTATACCCTATACTCCAAATGAGTATTGGGGTATATTAGATTTGTGGTGAAAGTGGATGTGTGTAACGTCCAGAAGGAATCGTTTCCGACCCCATAAAGTATATATATTCTTGATCAGCATCAATAGCCGAGTCGATTGAGCCCTGTCTGTCTGTCCGTCCCCTTCAGCGCCTAGTGCTCAAAGACTATAAGAGCTAGAGCAACGATGTTTTGGATCCATACTTCTGTGATATGTCGCTGCTACAAAAATATTTCAAAACTTCGCACCGCCCACTTCCGCCCCCACAAAGGACGAAAATCTGTGGCATCCACAATTTTAAAGATATGAGAAAACCAAAAACGCAGAATCGTAGGGAATGCCCATATCTTTTAGACTGCAGAATCTGAATTGGATCGTATTATTATTATAGCCAACATCAAGAAAACAATTTCATTTTTTCTCGCCCTGTCTCTCTCTAACACACACGTAGCATAGGCGGCTTTGCTTAGAGTAAAACATTAGCGCCTAGATCTCAGAGACTATAAAAGCTAGAGCAACCAAATTTGGTATCCACACTCCTAATATATCGGACCGAGACGAGTTTGTTTCAAAATTTCGCCACACCCCCTTCCGCCCCCGCAAAAGATGCAAATCTGGGGATATTCACAAATCTCAGAGACTATTCAGGCTAGAGTAACCAAATTTAGTATCCGCACTCCTGTCAGATCTCACTATAAAACGTATATCTCAATACGAGGATATTGAGGATACGAGAAAACTAAAAACACAGAATCATAGATAATGCTCATATCTATCAGAGTGCTAAATCTGGATCAGATCAGATCATTTTTTTAGCCAAAAGGAACAAATCAATTTGCACTGGCTACGCAGCGCCCGACGTCACGCTCAGACTGATTTTCTGTCTCTCTCGCACGCACTCTTTGTCGTGTCGTTTAATATTAGCGGCGTCTGCCGGAGGAGAGCCATACTGACTTAGTATCGGGTATAACCGTAGAGTTGCGGTGTTCGCAGCAACTCACAACGTTCCCCCTCGTTTTCATTAATTTTGAGTTTAATATTTTTTGTTCCGAAATAATTATTATAATATAATTATTTATGGATTATTATTTAATAAAAATGAATACAAATAATTATTATCACCGAAGAATCAGCTCCTTGAAACTTAAAGTTTTTATTGTGTGATTTTTAGAATAGAACATACACTGCCCAAAATCACACTTTTCCCCACTATTTCCACAAAGATTGATCCGTTTATATGTACATATTTCCATAGATAACTGATTAGTCTGATGACAAAGGCTTATCAATGCGAATCAGGCCCACACGATCTATCAACCGATCATCGATCTATGTTTAGATCTGAGGGCCAGAGGTTTATCAGCCCTCGCCGCTGCTCGATGACTGGACCAATCGCTTGGCAAATGGCGTGTAAAAACGAACGCCAACTGAGGCAACAGGAAACGGACGATGGAAAGTGGCGTGAAAAGCATGCGACATTCAATTTTCAACATTGTCGTTCCTCTTTGATGGTTCTACTTTGACCCCCTGGCTCCACCGCTTAAGGCACTCTCAAGCTAAATTCGCTGCGGCGGCTGTGGCTTCAGCGACTGCGGTTAGCAATTAATGTAAAAAAACTTGTTGTGGGCGGCCCCAGCGTTACGCCCGTTTCGACTATGGCTGCTGACAGACTGGCCTCCGGGCTAGGCTTTGCCACCGCTACGCCCATCGCCCATCGCCCATCGCCCGACGAGCCGACCGCAACCGCGTTTTTGTGGAAAAACTCATTAGCAGAGCGCGCGAGCTTAGATATGGGAAGATGTTTTCTGATACACTCTCTCTCACGCGCGTCATCGTGTGGATGGTGACAATCGAGAATTCAACTAATCGATTTACTATCGAGGATTCACTCGGGAAGGGATTGATCGTTGGAAAGAATGAAGATACAGCATGCATACCTTTTTTTACATGTCTCTCGCTGAAAGGGCATTCAAATATCGTTATTTTTGGGTCTTTCCTCTTTTTCGCGAAATTCTTCCCTTTGATATTGGGGACACTTTTTTATGGCCCCCATATCTGGGGTTCTCTTCCTCTCCTCCTCTGCTCTATGCCGTCTGGTGCGTTATTTATTCTGCTGCTGTCCCTTTTGGCAGTTCTGTTCTGCAGTTCACTTGAAAATTTGCCAAATAAGCGAAAAAGTTGCATCCTTTGTGTTGGGCTTATGATCTTACGAGTTTTTGTGGTCTCCATCTCCGCTTTGTCTCTTTTTTAACCCAAATTCGAACAGAATGCATAAATCTCGAGGATAACAACAAACTCCACACACCAAAAGTAAAGAGGGGGGAAAGGTCATGGGTGGCCAGGGTCATCGCATAATTAATTTTTTCCAACAGCAGAAGCATCAGCGCTGCCAATTTTCACACACGCCAGACGCCAGAAGCGCGGACCAGGACAGGAGAGGAGAACTCCTTGAAAGTTTTTTGAAATGGCCCACGTGTTGGCGACAGGCAAAGCTGAATCAGCATCGAGAGGAAAAAGAGTTCGTTGAGGTTCTCCGAAACGTCATTTGAAAACCATTTTGAGTGCCATAACTTTTACGAGATACATAGATAAACGCTTAAGAGATACTTCAGTAGGTGACTTGGAGATACAGATACACCCAAAAAGCGAAGACAATGGACAGGCAGAGTGACAGAGTTTATAGAAACGCTTTACACCTAACAGACTCGTAATCGTACTTGTACGAATGAAAATCTACGATGAATAAGAATAAGAATAAGTTTATTAGTTTGAGATTGCGGATTGCTATGAGGCTATAAATAGAGCGTCATTAATAAACGAAATGCATAAAATGAATGCAGCAAAAGCATATCCAAATCGGATGCTCCGATTCTTTTGGCCAATTGTCGCCCCAAATCGCATCGCAGTCTCAATTAAGGCGATCCCAAAAATAGACTATGCCACAATGTCAATGTCATCTCTCGTTAATTCGCATTCGTCTCCCATTTACCTGGGAGAAATGCAAAAAACGCTAGAAATAAGTGCTCTACAGCGTTAAATGATGGGGAAAGTAAATCCTCAATGGAATGGCACACTCACACTGCGTAGTATACAGAATGTGCAACATTAATTTCGGTGGAGTTTGTTTTTCCGAATCGTTTGCATTGATAAGAGAGCAAATCGAGTGCGTCAAAAGAACTGCTGCTGTTTTCTTTTCTGTTTCTGCTTCGGTTTCTGCTGCTGATTGCAGATTGTTTTGTTCAGTCAGCGATCGGTGATCAACGATCGACGATCAATATTTGTGATTTGATTCGCCCAGAGGTCAGTCATCATCCGTGTCTATCGGACTCGTGGATCGGTGCATTGATTGTATTTTGAAGGCTGATATGCACTGCACTGTACAGTGGAAGATCGGAGGAACAATCTGGAAGCTCTGGCCCTCACTTACGCATTCAGTGGCTGCTGTTGCATGCCACTTACTGCTGCTGCTGTTGCTGCTGCTTTTGTTGCTTTTGTTGCTGCTAACAAGGCCGTTTCCGTGTCAGTGTCGGTGTCAGCTGTCTTGCCAGTGACATTTGTGGCATGCTGCTGCTTCTGCTGGTCATCCTGCTGCCTTAAGCCGCTGTCTCCCACTGTTTTTGTTGCATGCCAACTTCTTTCGCAGCAACAGCAGCAGCATCCACTGAGGCTGCAGAAACTGTACTCCAGATGACGGCTGTGGCTGTTGCTGTTCCTGTTGTGCATTGCGGAGGATCCTGGCCAAACGACAATCGCAATGAATAGTGGATGAGGGGAGGGGGACTGGGTGGGGACTGGGTTTGGACTGGGTTGATGTTTTCTATGAAAAGTGTTTGCGCATTTGTGTCTTTTCTGCACAGCTTTCAACTTCATTTCATTTCATTTGTTGTGCTGCTGTTGCTGCTGCCGAAAATGGGAATTTATGGCTGAAAGCTTATCGTATTCGACCCTTTCCTGTGGCCCGAGAGGAACGAGGAAAGGTCTTGCCCCGCCATCAAGGCTGTCAAGTGCTGCTGCTAGTCGCTGTATTCGCCACAAAAAGGGTCTGCTGTGAAACTGCAGCTGAAACTGCAACTGCAACAGCAACAGCAACAGCGAAAACAACAAAAATAGCCAAAGCAAAAGCATTAGTTTTGATTAGATTTACGCAATTGCTTGCCACCAGTAGTATGTGGCACCACCAGGACCCCCCTCCAGAAGGAGCAGCAGCAGGACGAGCATTGGCTGGAGGAGCAGCAGCAGCAACAGCAGCAGTGGCAGCATCACATAATGGTCATAGCTCGCTGTCATCCCAATCATCCCCCCTCTTCGAATCCCTAAGGGAATTTCTCAGGGCCGATTTCCTCGCTTGTAAAATCAAAATTCATATCATGCCAATGGCCGAATGCAAGTTTATCAATTTCTGTTGCCATTTCCCGCGATTCCCGATTTCCTCACTCATTTTCCCCCACTTCCTTCTCAGACACGTCCAACGTACGCAACGTCGCCCCCGTCCCACGGCCCATGCCCCACGTCCACGCTTGCCCCATTGTATTGCATTGCTGTCGTTTCTATTTGCAACCCAGTCCGCGCATCATTGTCATCGTTCTCTCAACGCCCAACGTCTCGTAATGAGTGCAACAGTAGTTATCCCCCGATTGAGATTTTTAGCATCAAATTTACTGCTGATGTTGGCGCTGCCACGTGCCCCACATGCTCGTACCTTAGAGGGAGTGATAGATTGCAGCAGCTGGTCAGAGAGTTAAAGCGCCCTTTTGTATGAGTCTCAAGTGCACCAGAAGGTATCGATGGCAGAACATTCGATTTGAAAAGAAAGAAGGACAGATCCGCAGCAAAAACCATTCATCCCGGACGAATTTTACCTCGAGCGGAAGAGAGGAAATGGTTTCCCAGTTAACAATTGAATTGGTCCCTCAACTAAATTCATGGAAAGGTCGAGCATCCGCCGCTTTATACTCCATTCAGCTTTTATCAGAGAACAAGAGAAGAGAGCGGTGAAGCTGTCCATCAGTGCCTCTTGTTCAGGCCCAGCCATCCCTTAGAGCTCCAACGATACTCCAGTCCATTGCTAATTGAATGGCCTTGGCCATAGGTAATACTTGCCCCATCCCCTCATCCCCCCCTTCACGCCTCAAACCTCAATTCACAATAAGAAGGTCGTGGATGGCCAGGATCTGTGCTTAGAGAACTCTCTGTAGCTTGGATGCCAATTAAAATCGAAACATTGCTGCGAGGGCCCCCAGCATCCAATCATCAAAACCTCCGACAATCTCCAGCGGTCACAATTGTGGCGATAATTGAGTTAATAAGCATAACCACAAAACCAAATAGTCGTCGAGGAGCCCACGCACATGTGGATGGGCAGAGAGAGAGGGAGACACTTTCGCACACACACACACACACATGAGAGAACGTGGCACACAGCAGATGCGGGCAGAGCGTAACAAGAGCAGCAGATGCTTACACTAGATAACACGAAACCCAGGGACTGGACTCTGTTTTCCGAAACCCTTCGGTGTGAAGTGATTTCCCCTCGTAGGTCCTTTCTTTGCCAGATCGGCGATGGATTGAGATTGTATTTAGATTCAAGGCCCTTCAAAGTTATATTTCCAGTTCCGTGATGTCGAGTGTAAGCAGAAGAGCAGTTGAGGAGCAATTCCCAGTTCACTTCCGACACGGGTTTACGCCTAATTAAAGCCCTAATTGGCACACACACACTTGCAACAGCGGCACAACAGCAGCAGCAGACCCAAGAAGATGGAAGGTGCAGGATAGAGTAGAGTGAGAGTATACACGGAGATTGGGGATACCGAAGAGGAGTCTTTTGGGGCACAGTACAATGAGAGCACACGGGAAAACACCAGCCCGAACCGCACTCGAAGCGAACACAAACTGAGGGGCAGCCACCATCAAAACCCCAAAACGAACCTCAAAACGGAACCGCCACTAACGACCCATCATCCTCTCCGTTCTGTTCTCCGTCGTTCCATATACCGTTCCATCGCTAATATTCGTCCCCAAAGTGGGGCTTAAGCGCCCCTCCCGCCGCACTCTGTCATGCGTGTGACAATTCTTCGGCTCTCGCTTTCCGAGGGAATAAATATTAATAGTAAACACTTTCAATTTTTAGCCCAAGGGCCAGACATCGCGTGCGGCCTTGACGGAAGGGATTCGGGATGCGGAATGGGGAATGGGGGTCGCAATTTATTAAAGGCACTAAGGCATGTGAATCGCTGGCTCAATTAGGCAGCGTAGGCAACCAGAGTGTAGAAACCATACACACTGTTTTTCCAGTGTGTGTCCCCCATTCCTACATTCAATTCTAATGCGATTAATCCGGCACTTCCATGGGGGGATTCCATATCCCCTAGCAGATTTAATTAAGACGCTACCTTCGGATCACAGTTTAAAGTTCACATCGGCATGGCCCCCAGAATGTCCATTAGAACTCGTGTTGTTGCGGTCAAGGACTCATGGATGGTTCATTCAGAGTAAAAGTGATCCTTTCTCCTTTAAAGGAATAAAGTTTCCACTCAAACAGTGCTCAATGCTCTTCTTGATCGTCTGGTGCTATTCTTTTGGGCTCCAGGATGCAATTGTGTCAGGCACACACTTGCCGAACACGCGTTAGCACCGCTTATCAGAGCAGAGGATATGTGATTTGCATTTTAATGATGCAATGCCAAGGAGAGACTCGCATTTATAGTGTCAAGGCCAAAGACAAAGCCAGAGCCATAGCCATAGCCACACGCCGTATGCCACGCCCACCAATCATGGACCTGTCAATTTGCATAAATGTCATAAACAAAAGAGGCGACCACGACGCCAACGGCAATAGCAACGGCAACAGCAACAGCAACGGGCAACATATTCAAGAGCGAAATGCCGAATTAAATATTACATTGACCATGAAATCGCCTGCTCCCTCCCATATCTTCCTCTACATCTGCATCTCACATCTGTGTCTATACGATGAAAAATCAGGTGAATATATGTATTCTGAAACAAGTTTATATCAAGTACTTATGCAGATTTCATGTGGCAAGTGACAATGTTTTTCCAATTTCCAATTGCGACAACAAATTTGTTTATTTATTCATTAATCAAAAATTTTTGCTTTCTAATCAAAACATAATCTTCAGGCTTTGGGCGGTGAAAAGTAGGCGCGGCTCAGCCCACACACAACGACACAGCCAGAATGGAAACGTCAGAGAAATACATGTGTTTATATATTATCTATTAATTTAGATGCGAAGTAAGTCCTAGAGCAGTTTTGTGCAGAATATTTTCCAATTGCCAATTTATTCACGATACTTGTTTGTAATTCTCTTCTATCCATTGTGGGCGGTGGCCACAAGTAGGAGGAAGGGTCTTGCATGCAGCGAAATATATTATAAATGAAAAAGTTGCCGCAATTAAAGAGGAAACTGCATAAAACATAAATAAATATATATACCAATGTGGCACTGGAGGAGGGTCCATGGGGGGACGTTGGACCCGAGGCAGACAAAAAAATATTAAAATATATTTTTCTCATGTGAATTTCAATGGAATGCAAATTGCATTTATGTTTTTCTGCTGCTGCTGATGTTGCAGTTGAACCTGGCCCCAGGTCCTGCTCCTGCTCCGACGCTCCATGTCGAGCTCCTGTCGACGTTCGCGGTGTTTCCGTTTCCGGCTACGCAATAAAAGTTGCCAACTACGTGACCCCACCCACCAATCCCAGAGGGCTGCAACAGGGAGGAAGAGGAAGGATATTTCTGATATAAGACAATCCTGACTCTGAGAGACAACCCAAAGGTGAAGTTGCCACAGACAGGTTCCCACGGAACGGAAATAGGGAGGACATTGTTTGCATTCGAAAGTGCCAGAGGGAGGAGAAAATTGAGACTTCATGCTGCAGGTCACGTCTTGCGCCTGAATTAAACCGTTATGTAAGAGGGGTTGGGGGTTGGCGGTTTGTGGTTGTGGCATAAATATGTCAATTCAATCTGTCAATGATTGAAATTATTGAGGGGTTGAAGAGGCGTCGGGTAGGGGATGTTAGCGACAGGCGGGGGCAAGGCAGCCAATCAGTTCTGATTGGAGGCACAGATTAGGGGGCAGCGACTCATTAATGCAAATGTCACGTTGAAAGCCCCACAAATTTGCATTAATTGAGAAAAATACAAAAAAAAAAAAAAAAAACAGGAAAACCCTCCCAAGAGGTGTGCAAGAGGTTGCGGGTTCGGAGGGGAAAGGTGTAAATAGCGACTGCAATTAGGCAGAATGCCAGACAGCTTTTGGGGCGAGTACATATCTCTATCTCTGCATCGGCATCTGTACTATCTGTAGCCAAGGGCATGTTCATAACTGTGTAAACAGCCGATGGGACTGTCAACAGACGCCGCCTGAATATTCCCTAGGCCACCTTGCCACCCTTGTGGCACTTCCTGCACGCTCTAAAGTATGCAACAAGAAATGCCCAATCGACAGGAGGAGAGTTTTCCTTCCGCCTTCGACACGAAATATTCTCTGTGTCTGATGGGAATCAGATTCCTATCACCGCTAAGAATCACCAACTAAATCCAAATGATGATGAATCCACTGAAGAATAAGGCTAATAGGCTGATAACAGAAATATTGTACAGGGTATCATTATAGTAGATTCTACAATTGTTACCCAAAAATTACTCAGGGATAGATAAGAGCACTTGGATGATTCAATTCGAGGGAGAGAGAGAGAGAGAGAGAGAGGGACAGTGAGTACTCACCTGTGACCCAGCTCCCGCTTGTGGCCATGGAAACTGGCGACCCCGTCGAGGCCCATCGCCGCCAGTCCATTCAAGACCGACTGATCCATGTCCGTCTCCCCAATAGTTTGTGTCCGCTCCCGTGTGGAAATTGTGGAACTGGAATGATTCTGCTGCTTCGGCTGCGGCATTTTCCGACGGAGGAGCAGGAAGTGCTCAAGAAGAATGCCAAAAATTCGGCGCGGCGTCGCTGCTGCTACTGATACGAGAGCAAGAGAGTGTGTGGGAGGAGAGTGCGTGGCAGCAGACGGCAGACCTGATAAAGAGCGATAAAGATCTTATCAGGTGGCGGACGTCACGACGGCACAAACGGAAGAGAGTGAGGAGAAGAGAGGCTTGGAATGATCTCGTGCGTGGCAGAGTTTTCCCCACTGTCGGCTTATCACGGGCCGAACCACGATCGGAACAATTCCAGTAATAACAGAAACAAAAAGGAAAAACAATATCTCGGACTCGTTATGGGGCGTTTCGGCAAAGCGAACAATTTCAGTCAACGTTCGAATTTCAACTGAAAGTGCAATATAGAAATGGAGGAAGGAAGCGGTGGAAGAGGCCCCACCAGACCCAAGCACCGCCAACAGCACCAGTACCAGCAGAGCGAGTGCGAGAGAGCACCACATACAAAAAGGTGTGTGTCATTTAAGGTATGGCATACCCACTCTCTCACTCTCTGTGTCACATTCAAATGTAGCTGTAGCAAGATGGCAAGACTAAAAGATCCAATTCGAGAGTGCGCTCTTCAAGAATGTCTCACCCTATACAATATACACCTTTGCTCTGGCAAAGCAACTGGCGCAAACGCTCTCCGTCCGACTACCTAACTCTCCCTTTTAGCAACAGCAGAAGCAGCGCCGAAAGCTTTGTGCGCTCTCTCGTCCGCTCTCCCGCTATAGCCACATGTCTATTGTATTGTATGCGCCCCGCTCTTGCTGACGATGTCAACGTCGACTGTCTTGTCGTCTCGTTGTTGTTGTCTTTGTTGTTGCTGTCCCGTTGTTTTGATGCCTTTTATGCAATAAACAAAAAATAAGCATTTTGCTACCTTTTTAAGGCGCACTTTGGAACGGGCATGCTCTACGGGGCCTAAGATTGTGGATAGTCACGGTCACACGGTATAGATGTCATTATAGACGAATACTCTTGCAGAGGGTATTTATTAGCTGAGACTCAGACCATACATTTTACTGCACTCACTGTACCCCCTGTGTATAGTATTTTATTGTACATCGTTTTGCAAGGGTATCTATCTTGCCGCCACGCTTGCACTCGAACACTCACTTGGGGCGACTGGTATACACATACGAGGTACTATACCATGGAAATTTTAGTGTGTCAGGCAGAAAATGCTTGGCGAGAGCAGAAAGTGACGAAGAAATGGAATGGTAATGTGTGCTCACACATATGTACATACATAAGCGTATTTGTGTTTGCATACGGTAATGCTGCCCACACGGCTCCCTTCCTCAACAAATCATGAAATACAACAAGTTTCATAGATTCGTGGGATGGTTCGCGACTTGGCTAAGTGGAATTTTTGGAGTGAAACGAGATTCGGTTCCACAGATATCACCCAGTTACATTGCTTTTCAATGGGGTGGGGGGGGATAGGGGTCATAGATCCACGCACGCTCACTGTGTTTTTGTGTGTTTTTGATATGCAAATCGGGTTGACACCTTTTGACGGGCAGCCACACAGGCACTCAGTCGAGACAGTAGAAGCTCATTGTGGCAGACCACCCATCCCATACTAAGGCAGCCTGTCCTTCATGGCAACACTCACTGTACACACTCTACAGAGAGATACTCGCATAGATTTATGGAAATTAATTATGCGCCCAATTATAATATTGATGTTCGCGGCGTGTCCGAGTCTGTTCATAAATATTTCATCGGGAATTTGCATATTTACCTTCACTGTCATCCATTCTCTCCATCTATCTCTCTCCTGCTCTTCTCACTCACTCATTTAACACCTTCAATCGGGGCAGACTTCAAAGCGTTAAGGCGATCTTCCAAATTACAAATAGAACTCAATTACGTGTGCATATATATGTACATACATATGTAAATATATGCATATGTACATCTCAGTTATATGCATGTATTTCTCAGTTTCAGAAAACCTCTCTCTCTCTCTTTCTCACGCTTTGCTTTGCCGTGTGTCAATGTCAGATGAACACACAAAGAAAGAAATACAGATACACAGAAATGTACCTGTCCGCAGTTAGCTCTCGACCGCCTCAAGTGCGCCTCACTTAAAGCTGCATCGACGCCCCATAACAAGACCCATTGAAACGGCCCCTCCATTCCGCACCACCCTGCCACACAGCTCTCTTCCCCGCTCTGCTCTGGTCGACCCCTCTTGGAAAACCGGGTGATAATGGACACAGCGTCACAAAATATTGTAATCAGGAAAAACAAAAAAAATGCCAAAGAAAGGCCACCAATGATTTGGAAGCAGTGAATACCCCACTTGAGTACACAGCAATTAAGATTTTGTTCTGAGTATATACGAGTACGTTCCAGTCAAAGATATTTTCGTGATAAGCCCCACAAAAAACACTCTCTGGCAACAGACTGACCATCCCATTGCGAGTAAACCCCACTGTGAATTAAATTGTGATTGCCAAATCAAAGCTGTAACAAAACAAAATGGCCTGTCTGATATACCCTGTGCAACTCTATCAACAGCAGGTTGCCAAGTGAACGTACTACGAGTATTCGTACTCGTACGTTCCCGGCCTCCTGCTATGTTCTGTATGGATTAACTTGCGCCCCGTTCGCTGTCGTTGTCTAGCAGCGCACTGTTGCGGCTGTTTTTGTTGTTGGTGATTTGAGATAAGGTGATAAGCTATGGAAAACCGCTCGCGTCGGCATTGACCATGGAAGATAGGTCCGCTCTCTCTCTCTCTCTCTTTCTGTCTTTATTTTTGTTTTACTCTCTCCACATCTTTGCAGAAATCTTACATACACCGAGAGAAATGATTGGGGCCGTAAATAATGATAATCATTATTTTAGAGCTTCATTTTTTGTTTGTGCTAAAAAATAATTTTTTTCCTTAGGAATATCCGTAAACCCTCGAATTGATTTTTATTGTGATATTTTAAATATAGCTCCCTGTTTCAGAGAAAGCGTTAGATAGTGATATAAAGTATTTGTTGTAAAATACTTCGAAAAAAAAACCGATCAAATACATACTATACATGTATGTATGTACATGTATGAGGGCAATTGAC